TAAAATTATTGTTAAAAAGCAATAAAATACATCTTAATCATTAACACATAGGCAAAATTACTTAGAAAAGTAAAAAATTACTATAGTCTGATTCTGAGGCAAGGGCATTGAACTGAATGAAACACTGAGGTCTATTCCATGGCCAACTGATTTACATGATAGCAGTAAAAAATACATTAGTGAAAACCGGATAACAAACACATCTGGGCAGGGATTCAGCAATACATACATGTTAATGTCTGTCAGCAATATATACATGTCGATATTAGTTAGCAATACATACATGTTGATGTTGGTCTAAGTACATTTTAAAAATACAGTATTTTTCTATTAAGTTGACAGGACATGAACATTTATTCACTTGATTGATAATCATCTGTTATAAAGATATTGTTATTAACTTCAAAATACATTTAAAAGTGATTAGGCCTATGTTTTCTATGTATAGCAGATAAAAGTTTATTAGACTGTAGAGTGCCACTTCATGGAAATTAAGATGAACATGTTTTAAACAAGATAATTTGCCATGAAGATATACAGAAAATATACAAATACGTCACATGATACAGAGAAACAATATTCATGATCTTCACATCTATAGGAATTCATAAAATCTTCTCTGAAGAAAAAGTGTTACGTTTCAAGGTCCTCTTTTTGAAAGGAATCCGCATCATTGAGATATCTATGAAGTAGATCATATTTCTTCTTAATCCAGCCATTTCCTTTTGACTGATTGAAAATTCTTTCCACTGTTTCTTTAACGTCTTCATCCTCAAGTTTTTCTGTATTTACTATGGAGCAACATTCTTGATACAGCTTGAATTTAAAATGTTTCACATTATGATAAATTCTGGTACGGTTAGCACAAATTCTGCCAATAAAAAATTCCTGCTTGTCCCATGGCATGAAATCATCAGTTTTCATAGTCTCGGGGTTGTACTGCTTCCCTGATAAGCTCACTAAATATGCACAGTGGCGATGCAACCCGCAAGCCTTGCAGGAACAGTCTTTAGCTTTCTCCAGATAGATGCTCACCTCAGAATAACTTTCTAACCGCTCCTTATACTTCTTTTTCCAACGACTACTAGAGAATAAGTTCTCCAGACAAGGCTGAACATAGCAGTTGTCCAAATCATCAAAAGCTTTCAGCATTTCTTGTGCATATGATTCCTGCCTGATGCCATCATATAATGTTCCCAGGAATGATTCATCTAAAGCATTGATCAGGAAAGCCTTCACAACTAGTTCAAAGTAGAAGCAGAAGCTACTAAAAGAATAAATTGAATTAGATTTCAGGTGTGATATAGCTAACTGTTTTCCTCGCTGGCTTTCATTCTCTTCATCACCCTCCTCATCTGGTACTATAAAGTCATCAAAAATGTAATTGTCTCCATCTTCATCAGATTCATCATTCTCCTCCTCATCTTCATCATTTTCATCACTGATTGGGTAGGATTCCCTTTCAGAGTCCTCAAAATCTCGACTACTATTAGGTCTCTGATGAGATCTTTGTTTTGAGAGTTCTTTCAGCTTCTGGAGTATTTCTTGCTTTCTTGCAGTGGAAGTTTTCTCAGGTTGATTCTGCTCCATCTCCGCTGAAGAACATTCATCTTCAACTACGCGGACGTTTAACGCCTACTTTCCTCACTGGGACGTCACTGTCACCACTCTCATCACTGTCACTCATCACCAAGGTTCTTCTTCTCTTCCCTCGCTTTACGTTTTCTTCTTCTAAATCCTCCTCTATTATTTGCTCAGTGTGCTTGCTGAGATCAGCATCCTCTGGACTTGAATGCTTTTCCTGGTCTGGTAAATCAATACTACTCTGATTGCCTTTGTTATTTTCTCCTTCATTTGTTGAACTGTTGCCAGTGTCAATGAGATGCTCACAGTTGTTGCCTTCACTTTCAACTTTAACTAACTTAAGCTCACTTTCATCTTCTGGCTTTTTATTACTTTGAAGCCCTTTGTTACTAGCAAGCTCTTCATCACTGTCAATACTTTCATCACTATCACGCTCTTCATCACTCTCAAGGTCTTCACTCTCAAGGTCTTCATCACTATCCAATAACTGTGAGATACTTCTTTTAGTCCGCTTCCAATCAATTCGAGATTTCTGCTCACGCTCTTGAATTTTAGAATTCCTCCTTGTTTCACGTACCATTTTCACTTAAGCTTCACTGCCCACAGTCATTCTTTTATCAGGAAGTGAAAAAGTGTTCCAGTTGCTCAGATAAAAACAAACAAAAAAAATATGGAACGCTTCACGAATTTGCGTGTCATCCTTGCGCAGGGGCCATGCTAATCTTCTCTGTATCGTTCCAATTTTAGTGCTGCCGAAGCGAGTACCTCTTGCCTTTTTATATTGTACAGTTGGACTTTCCTCTGACTGCTCAGAGATTTTGTTTTGATTGACATCTATTGTGTCTCAATTACTCTTTGAGGCAGTATTTCCTTTTTAATCACTAGAGTCCCAGCACGTGAAATCACATGGCCCCGCCCACTGCCCCGCCTCGACACCCTAACCTCTACATCTAGAGCTCGAGCGTGCCTGGCCTTGCCCCTGACCCCTCCAGCCTTCTCTGGCTGCTTCAAGCCCTGCCCTCAGTCCTGTGAGTCGCCTTGGGCTGGTCCTGCCTTCTCCTGGCGCCTCGCCGCTTCTGCCCCATCATGGTGCTGGAGGAGAGCATGGAAGCCTCACGCCTGCTGCAGAGTTTTGAGCACTGCTTCCTGGCGGCATATGCACTGTGCTCCCTCCCCTGGCAGGTGGGCGGCGGGGCGCTCTGAGTGCGAGCGGTGGGTGGCAAAGGACTGGTGAGGGGGGTGCTATGGGCTCTTACCCCCACCCTCTCCGCCACGGGATGGTCCCGCTTCCTCCAGGCGCCTCCCCGCTTCCGCCCTGTCTCTGGAGCAATGTGGCGGCTCCGCCCCACCTCGCACACAGCCTCCTGCTGAATGGTCATTACAGTGTGAGGGTGTCACAACCATTAGCATATTAGCTCTTTATTATATAGGATAGTTATAAGGTCAGATTCATTAACATTTTTCTGGTTGGAGAAAAATAAATGTTTCCTAGTAATTTTGAGTTGGATTATCTTCTAGCCTAGAGAAAGGGGCTCATGTATTGCTGAAACTTTAATGATAAATAAGACAAACTCTTATTTTATCTGATGGTATCAGTATCCTTTACCTTTAAGTACTACCTGTCTCTAGGTAAACAGGTGTTAGTAGAACAAGTTTTGTTAAACTTTATTCCTGATAGCTTAGTAAAGCCTAACTGGAGCTCTTCATTTTGTATTCTGTCCTAAGACTTTAAAGTGCATTTGTATAGTTGCCAAACATTCTAAAAGTGAGATTATGATGGGCTTTCTCAGTCCTTTTTTTCCTGGAATTGAGTTACTCTTAAAGTCTGTACTCCTGTGTCATAAAGATGGCAGATTGCCAATGGCCAGGAAAGGGTCTGTCCATGCTTTCAAAGTAGAGTTCTGGATTGAAGTTTCAAAAAATATGACAGGTTATTATTTTAGAATCAAAGTGCCCTAAAGGAATAAGTTTAGTTGCTGGGCAGAGAGAAGTGTAAGGAAAAAATTAGAGGAGATAAATCAGTTCTTGAGTGCTTTATGATGTACTATGGTAGAACTGTGAGCACTGCTTACCCCAAGCAGAGTCTTAATATTACATGGCCATTACCAGGTGTTTTCTAGCTCTGGATAGTTAATTTTTCTTATGTATAGTTGCCAAGCAATCCAGGAAATCTAAAGTAAATTTTCTTTCTTTAAAGATCAGTGTTTGGGAGTCTGGTCCTTCCAGTGCTGACACTTTGCAATTCCAGCCATACTGAAGTGCCCTGCTTTCTCACAGTAGTGTAACCCAGAGCACACACAGCCGTAGTCAGACGTGTCATAGTCTCTTCGTGCGGAAGGTATACATTTGTCCTGTATGGTGATCCATTCCTTTCCATCTAGTTGCCTTGTGACTAACAGCATTTGCCATTGAAATAGTAGTCTGTATATAGTTAGGGAAAACAGTAAAGCTACCTCTCGCGCATGGGAGTAGACTTGAAGGGCAGGTTTCCATGAGCTTAGTGGCTCAGAGTTTAACATAAAGTACAAAGAAGTATGAATAAAAAAACTATAATAAAGAGTGGAAGTCTTATATCTTGAGAAATGTTCATAATCAAATCTTTGATCTGGATCCCCAGATTAATGAAATTGCCAGTTAAAAGAGATTCCATTTGTCTTTGGTCTTCTGTGGTTAGCAGAGAAGTTGGTCTCGCTGTGGTAGCAGCTTGAAAGAAAAATCTAAAGGGCACTAACCTTGACAAGGTGCTTGTATTGACTGTGTAGTGCTGGTCAGGGGTGCTCTGGGGAAAGGGATTCAATAGAGAAACCAATGGCCCTTGTTTATAATTTTGTTCCACATGGACCCTCCTCTTAGTAGACTAGTCTTTCAGTCCAGTGGGGGAAGAATAAGGCCCTGAGCATAGATTTGCTGCTTTTTTGGTGGGAGAATTCTTGCAGGTGTTTGGGTATTTTAGTTACTGGCTTCTATCTGTTGTACCACTTTAAGACCTGTTTTTTAATCCTTTTTCTTGGTGTGACTAGCCAGGAATAAGCCATAGAATCCCTCTCCCTACTCCCCCCACTCTTCTTATATTGTAGAAGAATTTTTTCTTTTTATTTGTACTGCATACCTATGGTGAATCTGCACTGTGGGCATTTGTAAAGCAGCGATAATGTCTTTTGAGAGTTGATCTCACTATGGCCCTTGGGCAGTAAGCACATTGGAGGGCTGTAGACACCAGTGCTGTTTTAAGTCTCTGTATGTGGCTGTCAAATTGGGTTGGGAATAAAGAAAACATCTATGCGTTTCTAGGGTGAAATGAGCTGTTTTCTGCTGGTCCTCAGTCTTTGAGAGGTCTTAGTTAATATTCCTAGGGTGTGGACTTTTTAAGGTAGAATTTAACAATTTGATCTGTTTTTTTTTTTAATTTTTTTCTTTTTTTTTCTTTTTGTGGCTCTGAAAAGAGCCTTTGGATGTGACAGGGGCTGAGCGCCTCACTGGGAGTTGTCGTACTTGGGCTTCACTGGGAGTTGTACTTGGTGACGGCCTCCATGCCCTCTTGCAAGGCCTTCTCGGCCAACTTTTGTGGCAGGACCAGGCGCACGGCCGACCGGATATCATGGATCGTGATAGTCAAATGCCCGTGCTGACGCCCCAGGCGCGACGCCTCGCCCGCGATGTGCTCGAACATGTCTTTGAGGAAGGGGTTCATGATGCCCATGGCCTTGGACGAGATGCCGGTGTTGGGGTGCCTCCCCTTGAGCACCTTGTACACGTACACCGAGTAGTTCTCCTGGCGGCTGCGCTTGCGCTTCTTGCTGTCCTTCTTCTGTGCACTGGAGCCCTTCTTCGGGGCGGGAGCGGACTTGGCAGCCTTGTCCATGTCGGAGCTCAGCGGACTGGTTCACCTGGAGAAGGGAATCTCATCTGTTTTTAATTAATTGAACCCAAGGTCCTAAAGCAGTCTTAAAGCTACAAAGCATGGAGTGAAACATTTTCGACACAAATCTACATTTAGTCATTTCTCAAGCTTTAAGTAGTTAGCTAGTTCTTTGTAAAATGATATCTTTGCTTATGCTTTTGTGATATTTAGGAATAGACTTTGGATGGCAGCAAATGAAAGCAAAGGTTTGCAATGGTGAATGAAATTGAGAGAGGCAGTAACTCTTCCTCAGCAGTTTGGTTGGCTAGATGTGCTGATATAGTGAGTAGCTGTGGACTCATACTCTTTGTGTACTTTACCTAGGATATGTACGGATGGAAAAGCACAGAGCACATCTTTCCACTGTCCTAGGGCACCATGATCTTTATGTTCATTTTGGGTTTGTGTTTGCATCTTGCACAAGTATCTTTTAGTTTCAAATGCAAGTGTCCAAAGAACTGTGTCTTTAATGTTACTTTTTGCGTATATTTCTCTTCAGAGTTAGGACAGGAGGCAGCTAACCTGACTTCTATTTGATAAATATTACAAACTCTTTCTTCAGTAACAGGGAAGGAAAATAAAATCATGAACTATTTTACATACATATATTTGTGTATATACACATACATATATATTTCCTTATAATGTTTTTAAAGTTTGCTTATTGGCTTAATACCTTATAAAATTGTCTTTGGTAGGTACTGACTCATACAATTCAGGTTGTTGATTTTACTTGTTGGCTTTAAAATTTCAAACAATCTTATTTCAGAATAAAATGATTAATCAAATGGAATTATAATTCATGTATTAGCTAATTTAAGTGAAATCTATCTCATCTAAGCAGAATAAGGGCACACTCTTTAGTTTGGATGGGAAAGGGAGTTAAGAATTCACTTCTTTTTGTACCCTGCCTATTTCCAAAACAAGATATGAACAAGTGTTTTTTATGCTATGAGGACTAGGTAATGTTCATGGAAATATGTAGTCCTAAAATAATTTTCTTGGGAATAGTTTTAGTCTGAAAAAGGTGAAAACATTTATGTTGAGCCATGTTAAACAAATTATTTTATTTGGAACTTAAAAAGCTGGCAAAAAAATTGATGAAATGGTCTCACTAAGTATATGATATTCAATTGAGAAAACTGTACTTTAGAATAAATGTGATAACTAAATAGATTTGTAAACTTTATTCAATAATCACTTTGGTTTTAAGTGAAATTTAACATTTAATTTTTGCCTTAATAGTAGCATTTCATTACTTTACATTAGGACATTTTAATGTTTGCAGAAAGACTATATAAGTAAACTTTACATTAGAGTGATTCTGTCTATGGTAGTAATGAAATTCTTGGTGTTTGTTTTGGTTGTCAAACATTCAGGGAGAGCAGAAAAGGAACCCCCAAATACCTGTTGGGTTCACCATGTAGTTATATCAGTTGATACCTTAGAATGGATTTATTATTACATCTTGGTTGAACAATAGCTTTGTCTTTTTCCTTTGGTGTTAATGACTGATTTTCATTTATATTGGGTGTAACTATCATAAATAAAGGAAGACTCAAGTTTATGAAATGGGAGTTTAAATGTTTGCAGGATTACTGCACTTCCAAAGTTGACTAAAAATGCCAACTGTACTCTCCACTGAGAGAATGAACAAATTCCTATGTGTTAACAGTTAGGATGTTCTTTTTGAAAGCGTTTTGATGTAACACCAACTTAGAAATTACAAAATACAATTTGAATAATGGAAGGTTTTCTTTGTATTTTAAAACTTTTTTTTTTCAGTTGATTGTTCAAATACTGGCTTTCTGTAAAAACATCGTGTTAAATTTTGACTAGTGCAATACTAATAAATTTGCTGCTTGGGCAGTTTTACTTACTACCTTTTAATTTGTTTTCTGATATTACTTGTTATAGGTTCCATGTTGCTCATATTATGGTTGCATCTCTTTGGACCAATAAGAAATAAGTATAAGATAAAGGTATGTTTATCTGATAGGAAGAAATATTAAACTGTAGAGTGTCTCTGCAATGAAAATAACTGGTATGTATTTTCTATCTCAAAACAATTACAGTTTGGTTGAGAATGAGTTAAGATACATAAAATCTAGCAATTCTTGAATTGTTCTAGAATCAAGTTTTTAATACTTGACAGTCCTTGGATCTCAGGGTAGAAAGAAATATATTCTTCTCTTCTAGAGATCTCAATAATATTTTTATTTTATTTAAAATATTGAGAGTGACCAAGGTATTACATTCTTGTCGAGGTACTTTGCTTTGAGATAGTGAGAACGGACATATTGCAAAGCTGGTTGCCATCCTTTCTTGTAGTCATGTATGACTTACTTGTATTTCCAATTCTTATTATATTCCCCGTTTCAGTGATGTTTTAAAAGGAAAAGAAAATCCGTTAATAACTTCCCATTCATATTAAACTTGAAAAGGCTGCCAAATAGAAATTTGGTGATAAATGAGATTTCTTCGGCTGTTTTAACCTAACTATAGTATGTCTTTTAGCCCCGCTTTGACTAGGGCTGTGATTTAGTGTGAACCCCCACAGGTCTGATATTTACATGTTAGATCAGCCGTGGGCAAACTACGGCCCGCGGGGCCGGATCCGGCCCATTTGAAATGAATAAAACTAAAAAAAAAAAAAAAAAGACCGTACCCTTTTATGTAATGATGTTTACTTTGAATTTATATTAGTTCACACAAACACTCCATCCATGCTTTTGTTCTGGCCCTCCGGTCCAGTTTAAGAACCCATTGTGGCCCTCGAGTCAAAAAGTTTGCCCACCCCTGTGTTAGACAAACAGTATTATGGAAGGACAGCCTTTCCCTTTAACGAACACAGTTCCAGTACATCATGGAATTAGAAATATTTATTCAGAATATAAGAATGTTTGTAAAATATTATAAATGTCTCTGTATAAATAAATGGAGATTTTAAAAAACAATTATATATCAAAGAACACAAAGTAGCTATTTTACAGCCGCTAATACAATGAAAGGCATCTAGAAACATTTAAAGCATACAAATGAATAAATCTAAAAAATTACAAGGTATAGTACAGGGCTAAGTAGCAACTGTCAAATGAGACTTTTAGTACAAACAGTAGAACAATACTGACAAACTTAGTCACATGTGCTTTAATAACTGATAGTACATTCAAGCAGGTTTTTCTAATAGTTCAAGTGGTTTAAAAGTAGCACATTTTCAAATAGGAAACAAATCTCATGCAAAGTAAGTAAGTCTTGACAATGTCTAAGAACTTATCAGAAGTAGTAAAGAAAGGAACATGTTTCATTATCAAAGCAGATTATTAGGGTCCCTTTTTTCACTGGGCAGTCCTAACGTGAACACTATAAGTGAGTACCAGGAGTTCTACAAACAGAACATTTTCCACATGGATTTAATTTGCAGGAAGTGCAAAAGTGAATGTAGACCAGGAACAACTATGCTTGTCATCAGTATGAATATGGGGGAATTTTGTATATAGCTTGTTCTATTCTCCTGAGCTGATATTTCAGATGATTAGTGGATCAGTGATTTTGTATCTACCTCGACTATGGAAAAATCAAGTACTGTTGGTCAAGGATAGGGCTATCCAATAGTATTTGTTGTTACTGGAACAGAATGATTTCTTGTCAAGGTCACATGCAAAATCTTAACTAAAAATGTAATTGTGTATACGTGAAACTAGCTTTCTTTACACAGAATTTAGCAAAACAGCTGCTATTCAAACTTGTACCCTTTTCCACTTGTTTATATTTTAACAGCCACTTAGTGATAATTCTAATTCAAGTTATATGCTTTAGGCTAACTTTTTATATCTGTTAGTAACTACAAATGTAGTCAGGCAGAAAGTAACTTTAAGTGTGTGAAGCAGGAGGAACTGCAGAAGGTCGCAGGTTCAGGGCTAACTTCAACTTGGCCTGTAGACACACGAAGTTTAAATGATCTAGAATAGGATTTGGATAAACTTTAGTAAGAACTGGGAGTGCAACAAAGGCATAATTTTTGTTTTGTAACAAGTTTTGTCTCTTGCAAAATATTGCCCAGCTTCTGAGCACTAGTAAGTTTGGAAGCCTCAGTGAAAGGTGGCGATTGTATTATTTCTTGACAAATAAGAAATAAGACATTTTGTGGATAAATAGAAAAATAATTACATGATTTTTTAGTGTCACCTACTATAGAAAAAACAAAAATTTTATGTCCGTACCACCCCAAATAAAAACTTGCCAATACAATGATTATCCCCTAATTAAATTCAATGCAAAACTTAATCGAGACCTTGCTCCCCTTTTGGCCTCTAGAAACTAACTATAGCTCTGTTTGCTGCATTGAGAAATAGATGCAGCTATAAAGTTAGTGAACATGATGAAATTTTCACTTTAAATAGTTTCATGGATGAGCCATACTCCTAGTTATGCATTTTGCATGTGACTCTGAGGCTCCTGCAAAGTACTGCTCAGAGGAAAGCTCAGAAGGGCATGCACCTCAAAGGAGAATTAAGCAATTATGTTTAACTGGTACTTAATTTTTTATTGACATAATATTTCCAGTTTCAAGCACTGGATATTAACTTCAGAAACCTGACATACCAGCAGATGAGAGTGAGTATGAAACAGTTAATTACCTGCATTGGCAATGCTGAGACACCTCGTAATACCTCTGGGGCTCTAGGGCATGATGAGTGCCAGCTGTCTGATGACATAGATATTTAATCACGAATAATTTTTGGTGAAAGTCTCAAAGAGGAATCTTACCACTTACAGGTGTGTGGCATGGCAGTTTTGGTAGCTGGAGCACTTGGGGCTTGGCAGACATCAGATATAGTTGGTAGGCCCACATAGACGTTGATGGGTACTACAGATGGAATTCTCTTAGCTGATTTTTGCTTCCATTCAGCAGTGGGTGGGAACTATACTCCAAGAAAACTATGAAATGGGTCTTTTCTTCCCATACCCATTGCTCTAAGGGACAAAGACTGAACTCTGAATAGAGAAGGTAACTGCCTAAAAGGGTAAGAAACCACTGAGAGAAAACAGTTTAGATAAAAAATACGCAGATCTAGTTTTTTAAAAAAATCTCATACAAGTTAGAATTAAGAACATTGTTTTACTCCTGATGGAGATGTTAATATAAACCAGCTTCTATTTAGGAAGAATAATTCAGGTTATAAAAAAAGGAAAATTACCCAGGCATCTGCAATCATTTAATGATCAATTCAGTTTTAGTAGGCCCCACAATTAGCATAACCAAGTGCCTGTTGGTTCACCTTCAAAAAGGAGTATTTGAAAAAATACAAGGAAAGGAAATCAACTATTTAATGATAGCTTTTTTATTCTACACATTTATAAAAGTAACAGTTTTACTGGGGAATAGTTTCACCTACTCAGCACATATTTTAAAAGTATTATATTAAAGTATAAACTCAGAATGAGGCCAGGTAGTTTCAGTAATACAGGGGCTCTTAATGGAAGAGCTGAGACCTGGTCTGGAGGGGTTACATGACCTAACACTAACAGGGTGGGTTCTCTGCTTTAACTTGGAGTGAGAATGGTAGATGGGCCAGCAGACAGGACTTGATTCCTGTGTCAGAAAGCCATGAGTGCATGCCCAGTTTGCTTAGAGGAGGACATTCCCCTAGGCAAGCTGGAAAAATGGAGAAAACGGATTTTTGGACATACTTTTCAGCCAAAACATTTTCCTTGTGACAACATGAAATTTTACCCAGAGTAAAAATTGATTTTTAAAAATCACAAGAACCAGCAGGCACTTTCTTAGTGACCTAAGCACCCACAAGCTGGTTCTTCCAGACTGATACCAGTTGACTTTTTTTCAAGATTGGGCAGTCTCACTGCTTACCTGAGAAAGTTGGTTGCTTTTGGGATAAAACTCTGCCCTCCAAGATTGGGGCTAGTGTCCTTGTCCATTGTGCAGAAGGCTGAGGACCTTGAGTTTGGGGATGCAAAGCAAAACTGTGGCATTGGGGTGGGCCTTAGGTACTACAGAAAGAAAGTGAAAGGGTGAAGGTTACAGTAGGAAAGGAATGATGAATTTAAGATGGAAGCCCTTCCTGAAAGAATTCAGGTACTTTGGTCCTGCCCTGTCACCATTTTGCTTGAGATTTAACCTGTTTAAGAACCATATGCTAACTATCACCAAGTCTCGGGGGAAGAAAAGGAGGCCTCAAGGACCATTTCCTCACCCCTGCCCTTCATAGCCACGGGAGCGGAGTCGAACTGGCAGGTCAGTAGCAATCTCTAAAATGGGTGGGATCAGCCTGCGAAACTTACCTGCTCATTCCTTTACAGCAGCGGTTCTCAACCTGTGGGTCGCGATCCCTTTGGGGGTCGAACGACCCTTTCACAGGGGTCGCCTAAGACCATCAGAAAACACATATAATTACATATTGTTTTTGTGATTAATCACTATGCTTTAATTATGTTCAATTTGTAACAATGAAATTGGGGGTCACCACAACATGAGGAACTGTATTAAAGGGTCGCGGCATTAGGAAGGTTGAGAACCACTGCTTTACAGAAATTAGAGGCAGGTCCAGAGCTACATATAATTTGTGGATGAGCTTTGATTCATGCAAATAGCAATTATGTAGTGCCCTGGGGTAGGTGGAAAGTACTAAAAATGCTCCTCTGCTGTGAAAAAAATTAGGTAAAATTTTAGTTCCAATACACGTATCAACAGGATTCTGTCAGCACTAAGCCTTGGCTATTAATAAGGCTCCACTTGGTAGGGGCAATACCAAAGTCAGAAGAGAGCTCCCTACCTCCACGATGAGAGCTGAAGGCGATTTCAATCTTCCTTACAGAATTGTTCAGGCACAGGCCTGCGCCTGCTCTACCTATAACTTCTTATCTGGGACTGGAACACCTATCTGCCATTTTCCTGTAATCTGCCTCCCAAAGCATCTCTGAGTGATAGCCTGTATCTTAGAGTTGACACGTGGGACTTGAAAATCAAAGCCTTCTTGCATTAAGCAAATCTTCTCGATATGTAGACCCTTCCCACTCCCCTGTGTGTGTCAGTTTTTCCCTGGAGAATGAAAGAGGAGAAATTGGGGGATGCCAGAGGTAGGGTCACTGTCTGCCAAACAGAAGGAAAGAGTGGAAAATCCAATAAGACAAATATCTGGGACACCACTGATGCAGGAAAGGTGGGAGCATGACAAAGCCAGTGCTGGAGGCAGCAGCAAGGCCTGCTGAGCATGGCACACAGAGTGGGTATTTACATGCGGTCCATGGGCCGGTAGTGGAGGAGCAGGATCCTCGGGATGCTGTCTGTACAGTGTCACGAGGGATGCTCACCTCCAGGGCTGAGTTCACGGCACTCCATTGTCCAAGTCCAAGTGCTGACCTACCTGCCAACTGTCCTTAATTTTCCCAACAGGTACTCTGTCACCTGGAGCCCTTCTCTCTCCGGTGACCTGCTATAGTTTAGCTTCCACCGGTAGGACTTTGGTGCCCGAGTGCCAATTAAAGTGAAGTTTCATTGGTGTGTGGCCTGGAGTTTTCCTCCTCCAGCAGAGCTATTCTTTGCTTGAGCATCCTTACTTGGGTCTCATGTCTCTCCACCATGGCCATCATCTGAGACTCCAGCTTCTTGAGTTTGTTTTGATGCTTCTTCTTTGCTTTCTCATAGGCAGCCACCAGGTTGCTATGTGGGAACAGAAGGGAATGAGATTGAAGACTCACCTGAGATAGCACTGACCCACACACACACTATCCTGTCCCCTGGGTAGCCAGGTCCAGTCAGCACTACTCCGAAGAGAAGGTCACTCAGCCTCTCAGTAAGAATCTGAAGTCAAGTGGTTAGTATTTCAACACTCACGGCCATCATCTCTTGGCTTAATCATGACTCATTCAGCTCGACTGCTAGAGGCTTGTCAGTAACAAATTAGCAGAGATTTAAACAATCCAAACTAGCCACATCCAAAGTAAGCAGAAAGGGAGCTTGAAGTCCAGAAGTCATTTAAATACAAATACTTTGTCTGTTGTTCATGGCTGCCTGCAACAGACGGTCAAGTGTACGCTACAGGAAAGAGTGCCTCACGTACTGTAGACCAAGAACCTCACCTGGGATGAGGGCAGAGTGGCTAGACAACTTCCTGTTATTCTGTGGACTGGTGGGATTCAGAGCACTCAGGCCAGAAGCTAATGACAGCCAGGCAGAGTAATACAGGCCTCTGGTCCTCCCTGGGAGCCCATGAAGAGAGGGCAGGTTGAGCCCAGGGCTAGGTAAGTCCTGGTGCCCTCTGTCCAAAGCAGCATCCCATGTGCATTCAGATTCTTTATGTGTGGCCTGAAGACTGATCCCCCAAATTTCCTGAGAGCCTTTTTTGGGAGTGGGGCGGGGGGGAGAAAGGGGGTTTGTGAGGTCCTATAGTTTCTACCTACATTCTGTGAAGCTGATTTTCTTGATCTATTTCAAAACAATATGTTGCCAAGAGAAGCAGTTGTGAGGTTCTAGCTGTCTTACATTAAACCAGATACTAGCGATTTGCAAAATTGTAAAAACAGTACCACTCTATTTTTTGTAAAATAAGTTATTTTTTAAATAAAGGCCATGTGTGTTACAGGTAAATAATGTATTTTTTTTAAGTAAATGAATTAATAAAAACGTAAAAAATTTTGTGTTTTAGTTTCTAAAATGAGAAATGTCATTAGATAAATAATTATAAGGACAAAGCTCTTTGAAGTCCTCAGTTTTTTATGAGTATAAAGGCGTCCTGAGCCCAAAAAGTTCGAGACTGCTGTCTCAGAGCAACGCTTCCTAAAGTGTTCCCACTGGGTAGTAAATAAAAGGTCTGGCACCAATTTTGTTTGGAAAACATTGGCATAAACACAAATAGGTTTTTAAAAAATTGCATGCCTTCTCAGAACTTTCCTGTCTGGAGTAAGAGGGGACAGACCACACACTTTCTGTGCTGCATTTCCCAAACACTCTTGGCTTAAGGCCTTGACTTTACCCAGCATTTCTCAGGTTTCTGTGGGCAGTGGTACACTGTGCCGTAGGGAAGACCAGGCTCTAAGAAGGGCAGGCAAGGACTTGCCATTCTCAAGTGTGGCTCCCAGTAATTACAGAAACATCCTCCCTGGTGTGAGTTCACAAGCAAGGGGGTTTACCTGTTGGCTCTCTTCAGGTCATTCACGAACTCCGCTGATTGCTGGTGGCGGATTTCACTGCTCTTGGTGAGTCTTTCCAAGGCACTCACCAACTCTTGAACTCTGGACTTTAATTTCTTTTCTCTGTCAAGGAGAGAGCATGCCAAGAGTAACTTGAGATGATGATGGAGGTGGCTACTACCCTGGAAGTGTTTAGCCTGCCAAGTCAAGAGGTGGTACGAAAAGGAAGATAGTACTAGAGGGTGGAAGAGTTCCCTTTCCCCTCAGTGCAGCCAGAACACCTCACTGTACTCCTGAAGGCCGGTTTGAGCCTGCTTCCTTTAACGATAAGGCCCTTCCAGGTGGAGAAACTGAGCTAATCTAGAAGTTCCCTGTCTCAGTCTCCACACCCTTCTTTTCCAAGTGTCCTAAGCGTATCCTGAACCTTTCAGATTCAAGAACAGAAACCTCTGCTCTGGGCAGCCTGCCATGGACAAATCCCGACTCATTGAAATCAACATGATCCTACCTTGCAAAACAAAAAGGTGGAGAATTAATATTACTCTCATTTCAAAGGTCCTTGTTTCCCTTGAAAGTATTTAGATTATATTTGCACTTTCATTTGACTCCCCCGTCTCCTAAGTTAACTGACTTAACCTAAGTTAACTGCCTCTATCACTCAGTGTCATTGCATGGTGTCACACCATACCATGACTTGGTTTATGTATTTGAGCTCCACAGGCTCCCCACTGGCATGCAGGCTCTGGGGTTGCAAGGATCTTACTTGTTTTGGTTCCCCATGTGTCCCCAGTGGTGAGCACCATGTGGGTGGAGGGGGGAGAGATAGGGAGAGGTGGGCAGCTTCTCAGTGACAATGGTTAAAACCTCTTCAGAACAACTCACTGAAGGTATTGGTTCCCTGGAGCAAACTAAGAAACCAGAATTTATGGAAGAAAGTCCTAGAAAGATCACTGTGAGTGTGAGGAACGTGAATTAGCATGATCATTTTGGAAGGCAACTTGGCAGTATCTAACAATGAAAAATGAACACATCCCTTGGCTAAGCAACTTGATTTCTAGGAATTTTTCTTAACAGAGGTAGTATAGGTGCTGAAAGACACGAGATCATAGTTGCATTCACTTAAGCATCCTATATAATAAAAGCCTAATATGCTAAGTGTCCGGTCGGCCGTTCAACCAATCAAAGCATGATATGCTAAGGCTGTTCAACTGCTCACTATGACGTGCACTGACCAGGGGGCAGATGCTCCAACTGGTAGGTGAGCTTGCTACTGGGGTCCTGCTGATTGGGACTGAGCCCTCCCACAGTCCCTCCCTGGCTGGCCAACCTCCCCCGTCTCTCCCTGACCCTGATCATGCACTGGTGGGGTCCCTCGGCCTGGCCTGTGCCCTTTTGCAATCTGGGACCCCTCAAGGGATGTTGGTGAGCAGATTTCGGCCCCATCCCGCAGGCCAGGCCAAGGGGACCCCACTGGTGCCTGAATTCATGCACCGGGCCTCTAGTTGGCTATAATAGCTTTTGGGGGGAGGGGGGACAGGCAGCCAGGTTAGGGTATGTCTGTACCACTCTGCAACCTAAAAAAGTGCAGATCGAAACGCATTAGCATGGTGTCTGATAAATTGTCAAGTAAAAAGGAAGAGTTCTATTGGATGCCATTTTTGCAAAAACACTAAAAATCTGATGTACTAATAATAGATCAGAAGGCTAAACAACACTCAGCAAAGGTTAATGCACAGAAGAGGGATGACAGAAAGCTTTCATTGTCCACTCACTTTTGCATTGCTTGACATTTTTATAAGTCAGGCTTTTGTCAAGTATGTGAGCTCTATGCTTCCTGTAGGAGGGGCAGGGAGGCGACCTGGGCAGGAGGACCCAGGAGATGGTTCAGTGGTGCTCTAATCTTACGTTTCTGCCTCCAGCTATTATCAGTGCCAGTCAAGCTTCCCAAACATTTAATAGAGGAATTGTAACACAAAACCCCTGGCCTGCTTTGTGAGTGAGGTTGAAGGGGAAAGATCTTTCAAAGTGAAGCCAGGCCACCGGCCCCTCATCATTCTCCAGGGAGGCCTCCCTCCCACCAAGGACCCCCACAGAGCCTTGCAGCAAAGTGGGTCCCACCTGCTGGGGAAGGCAGGTTTCTCGGGCCCTGGCAGCTACCAGGAAATTGGGTTGCAATTCCTACAGGAATCTGAGAGTGGCACTGTTTCCTACCAGGAGGGTGACAGGTGTCTAGGGAGGATGTCTCCCTCCCTCCTTCCTTCCCTAACCATTCTCCTTAGCCTTCCCGCAGCGCTGAGGAAGGTTAGAAGAACATGAAAGATTTCCCCCCTTCCCTCTGGCTAAAGTAATTAAAATAATTTAAAAAAACAGGGAAGGGTTATTTCTCCTGCATTTTGTTACTGTTTTGATTCCTTTTCATTCTAAAGTTGATTAATAGTGCAAATGGAACAAAATTATGACAAGAATTAAAAATGTCCCCATGAACTCAATAAATTCACAAGAATATCTGCTCAGAGCAATACCATTATTCTCTACCCCCCCTCCCTCACCCTCCCTTCCTTGGTGACATCCATATCCCTGCCCTACCCTGCATACAGGGAGAATATGGGACCCCCAGCTCCCCAACAAAACAGGGCTTCCTTCCCTAGTACCCAGGCCGCTGAAACACCAGAACTTAGGGAGGTCCAGAACTCAGGGAGGCCCAAGAGGCCCTCACAGATGCTGCCCAACCCCAGGTAGGGTGGCGGAGGGGAGCCATTGCTGGGAGCTGAGAACTGCCTCTATAAGAACTCCCTAGGCCTCAGGGATGGGAGGGAACTGCTCCTATGAACTATGGGACGGAATTAGGATGCCAGTTAGCTATAATAAAGCGTAATATGCAAATTACCGAACGACCGAACAGCAGAAGGATGGTCCGGACGACCTTCCAGACAACCACGCTATGACATGCACTGGCACCAGGCCAGCCAAGGCGGGTGTGATGCGATTGGTCGGGGGCCCTGCCATCGCCCCACGATTGCCCTGCAGGGGGAGGCCCAGGCCAGCCAAGTGATCGCACCCCATGCCTGTCGCTCACAGAGGGAGGCGACTGGTGACGGGGAGGGAGGGGGGGAGCACCGCACAGATGGCAAGCAGTCGCAGTGTCGGGGGCGGGGCCAGCTGCAGGGTGTGTGTGTGTGAAGGAAAGCCCCGATAGGCCCTGATCACCAGCTAGGCCTAGGGACCCTATCAGAGGGGTCCCAGATTGTGCGAGGGGCACAGGCCAGGCTGAGGGCCCCCCCACCATGCATGAATTTTGTGCACGGGGCCTCTAAAGATACAAAGGCAGGCTGACCCTCACATTTAAACCTCAAATGCGGGCTACTTTATCTGTTTTCCTTTGAGTGAGGCAGGAGCCTGCAGTCAAAGTCCTGTCCCCATTGTTGCTCATTTGAACTGAAACAAACACTAAACTACTGAGACAGAACAGCTCTAGACCCACAGTACGGGTGGGCATTTGAGCACTAGAAATGTGGTGGGTCCAAAATGGATGTGCTGAAAGTACAAAATCCACACCGGGATTTGAAGACTTAATACAGAAAAAAAAAAAAGACTAAAATATTGCAATAATTTAAAAAATACTGATTACATGTTGAAATGGTAATATTTTGGATATATTGGGCTGTTATTAAAGTTAACGTCACCATTTTCTTGTAGTTCTAAGTGTGGCCATTGGAAAACTTACAATGACACACGTGGCTTGGAGTGATTTACTAGCTCCAGAGCACTGTTTACAGTCACAGTACTGGGCGCGTCCCTGGATTCCGATGCAGTAGGTTTGGGCTGAGGTCTAGGAATTGCAGTTTAAGAAGTGCCCTTGATGATTCTTATTATCAGGCAAGTTTGGGAAACTGGATGGGTCTGTGGATGAGCTGCATGTGGTCTTGGAACTCCGTCTATGGGCATGATTACGCGCACGGGCACACTTTCTACAGTATGAAGTACAGCCTTCCTCGGATTCTCAAAGGACAACCCGGGTAGGAGCCAGAAGCCTGCTAGTCCTACGTTGCTTTGGAACCTCAACCATTCATGTCCAGTTCTGTCCGGTTTCCAGTTCAAATCTGCTTGGCCTTCAGCTAAGGAAGAATCTGTTGAGTTTGTCCAGATAAGGTAAGAAGCCCCCAAAGAGCACTTCCACAGGCTCCACAAAGATGAGAAAGTAAAAATTAAACACACATGCTCCATCTGCTCCCTCGATAGTAACATATTCATAAACCGTTTTCTCGAATGCCCAGAACTGTGTGATCCCATCCTCACCTCCCTGCTTCTTTACTCCCAGTAGTGCAGGCACGCAAGATACACGCCTGTATCACCAAGTACAAAGACAGTCCCGGACCACACTATGACCAGGCACACCCACATCACCAGCACGCACATGGATTTCAGGTACAGGTGATCCCGCTCCACCAAAAATGAAGGTTATTTCTGGTCACAAAAGGTCCTATGAATTTTACTCTAACCACACAGACAGGGAGGTGCTTTTCTTTCTTTTTAAGTGAAACACGATTTTAGGCAGTGGCATATACACAGGGGATGTGAGGCAGACTCCTGGTGGGAGCCTGCACGTGATGAGAAAAACCAGGTGACTTGCCAGTAAAGTGAGCTGGGCAGGACACCGGGCCACACAGACCTCTGCGGCCGGCCATGCTGGTCATTGTGCCTGGGGAGCCTGGAGCGGAGCTCTCCGAGCAATCAGGGAGGAGGTGGCACTCTCCCTGAAATAAAAGGCCAGCTGCACTCCTTTAATCACAAAGTCCAAATGAGCAGCTGGGGGAGTCACCAGGGCCAGAGCCCGGGCTTGATGAGGTAGTGAGTGGCTCTGCAGCCACCAGGAACCTCTCAGAGTTGCTGTAATCAGACCAGACCGCAGGGAGTCACAGCCATGCAGCCACAAGGCCTGGAATTTCTTAGCAATTGCTCATTACACGGAATTAGTCACTGAGGATTGTCTGCATGTGCAGTTCCTCTTCCTCACCTTCCTTGTACCCGTTAACCCTGCCTGGCTCTGTCTCCACTGAAACTGCTCATGAGGTGACCAACGATCTTGGCGCTGCCACAGCCAAAGTTTCCACTGTCCTGAACTCCCCGTCGGGCCGTCTCCTCTCCCCAAGCATGGCTTTCCTCTGGAGTGCCTGGGTTTCCTGTGTCACTGCTGTTCCCCAGGCTCCTGCACTGACTCCTCGCTCTCTGCTCCAACTCTAAATATTCAGCGGATGGAAGACCTGGGCTTGGACCATATTTTGTAGCTTACTGTTTCTTCTCCCCATTACCACTTATTTTTCTAAAAACTCCCAAATCTTTATCTCTGGCCTCTCCTTGGGCCTCTGGACTTGTCTATTTGACATCTCTGCTTCACAGGCATCTTCAATTTAACACGTCTAAGGTGGGATTCTGAGATGTTCTCCCAAATCACTCTTCCTCCCTTGTTAGCAAATGGCAACACCATTCGTCCACTTGCTACACCTGTTGAGTCAGCCTTTGCTCCTCCCTTGCCCTGGACCTCCTTATCTATTCAATAGCAAACCCCACTTACCAAAACTCCACTTATGCCACAGCCACCCAGGGGCCATCATTTCTCCCGAGTGACCACAGAGCCTCCTAATAGTTTCTCGCTGCCCCTTTGCACGCTAGTCTGGTTTTCACTGAGCACCCAGAAGAACTTTTTAATATGACGACTGCCCTTCAGTGCCTTCTGCCTGCAGCTGGAATGAAGTCTGTGGTCTCACTTTGACCTATAAGGCCCTGCATGACCTGCCTCCTGCCTACCCAGGTTTTGGCACCCTCTCCCCCTTGCATGCCGGAATGCCATCAATTCTTAACATACTGAACTCTTTCCCTCTGCGTGGAATGTGTTTCCTCCATTCAGCTACCTTTCTTCCTCATCTCAGCTTAAAGGTCATCTCCTCCGAGAGGCCCACCCACCTAAGCAAATGTCTCAGAGTTGTAACATCATAGCACCTTGTCATTTCCTCCAAATTATTCATTGTAATCTATTATTTAATATTTTGGAAAAATGTCAAGAGGAAGATACAAATAAGTGGAATCATATAACATGCTCAAACACGGCATGATATGTCTTGAATCTGGATGCCCGGGGCCCACAGATTCCTTTTTTAAGGGAGAAATGTTTCTGAAAACGCTGGGAAGTTTCCCTCAACTGACTTCAACCACTAGCTCAGTGGTTTAATTCCTTCAAAGAAGGTGTTAGTTTCCACTTGATTTTTAACAATAAAAACATCCCTAAGCCTTAGCCCTCAGGTGTCTGCGTTATATAAACTCATGAAATGATTATTCCCATTTTTGAGCTCTATTTACCATACAATCACGTGACTGCTGTGGCCCTGTGGGTTCTGTCCTGGCTCCATCTACCTGGGTCCTGATGAGAAGTCCATGCTCACCAACGTAAGGCTGGTTATTGGAACCCATTGTGCCAACTGAGTACATGGGATCTCTGCATGGAGTCAGCAGAACCTGCATCCTCCTGTGCCCACAAACGCCTCTGAGGTTTGGAAAATTTAAAAAATGAAGGGGCTTAGCGGATGGACACCATATGCATAGGCCCCCAGTGGGAAGAGGCAGTGGGTCTGCCCCCATGCTGCTGGCACAGGAAGCTGTCGAATCGCTGAGAGTGCTCCTGGGATGCTTCTCTCCCCACCTCAACCCAAGCAGTTACAATCGAACCACATGCAAGTGCAAGTTGGAAGGAAAGACGAAAGGCACAGGGAGTCGGGGGTAATGAAGTTCCCACGAGGCAGCCTTCCTGCCGCCCACTGTCGGCCTGGAGGCCACGCTGTAAACTAAACTGCCCGGCTGGGTCAGGACAGCAGGCTGTGCCCTGTAGCCTTCCTTCCCTCTCATCCCAAACCCCAGAAAGGATGAGAAATGTGTTTTTAAAAAATCCCTGAACATGTCAGAAAGGAGTGTTCTTTCTATACCAGAGATGACGAGCAATCATAGAAAAGGCAAGGAAGACGTTCATTCTTCTCGAAAAAGGAAACCACAGCGCAGACTGCAAGGGAAGGCGGGGCCGCGCGGGCTTAGCCTCAGGTGCTGGCAGCCTGACGGGAGGGGCCGGGGTCAGAGATGCCGCCTAAGAAGCTGCTAGGGGCCCCGAGAACGTGAGCTTGTGAACCAACCCCAAGAGAGAGTCACCAAACTCAACTCTAAGGAGAATGTGATGTGAGGAAACTGTCAATACAACAGGCAAAGTAGCCTTTTAGAATCTGCATAATAACTCTCCTCAGGAGGACAGCACAGCACTAGAGAGATGACAGAGATCATCCCCAAAATGCCCAGAGCTGAACTAATGGGGCCTCTGGCGGGAAGGAGCGGCGATGCGGAGGCAGCATTCCCACCGAAGCTGCAAACAGGGCCAAGATGCCCGTTTCCATCGTCACCACTGAACACCGTCCCGAAGGTTCCAGCCAAGGCAACAACACAACAAAGAAGCAGTGAAAGGGACATTCTTCATTTGCAGGTGACACCTACACCCTCGCCCGTCACCCCCCCCCCCCCTTCCCGAAAGGTCTGGTGCCCACATGGCTCTCCACGTCTCACCAGCAAGGACCGGACAGAGGGAGGACCCGTCACTAAAGAGACGACAGGCTTCATTACTGAAAGGAAACTCAACTTGTGAGCCAAACCCCACGGTGATATAGCTGAAGCTCTGCCTTCCTGATCCCGGATGCTGGCCTGAGCAGCAAGAGAAGGAGTAAAGCTTCGCTCCCAGAATCAGTGGTTGTTGGGGTCCTGGGAAGGGTGCTTACCGACGGATGGCACTGGTGAACTCTGCAGCCAGCTCACTGTCGCTGTACGTGGTCCTGAGTTCGGCCAGTGAGAGAGCTGGGGAGGCAGCGTCAGCACACTCCTGAGAACAGCAAGCACATGCCTGTTAGACCTGGAGCCAATGGGGAGTGACAATTCCGCCCTAGGTGGCCGTGACCTCCGACCTCCGCAGGCTGGCCGTGGGTGCTGACCACTCCCTGTGGGCTCCGAGCGCTCCCTGGGAGCCGGGCACTGGTCTAAGTGGCCACACACATATCCTCTCACTTAATCATCATGGTGATACTCTGAGGTAGGTGCTATCATGATCCCCATGCTACCCAGGAGGAAACGAAGGCCGAGGCCACACTGCCCCAAGTCTCCAGCCAAGACAGGGAGAAATGAGGATACCAACCCAGGTCGGGGGCTGCCGCCGATCAGGGCTCTTCACCACTGAGCCAGCCTCTCGTACTCATGGAGACAAGTGGGGAACAGCAGGTGAGAATCCTCCCCCAGACCCACTTCTCCGGGGGAGAGAACCAGTCTTCTCCACCGTTAGGAGCTTTAGCGAGGTCAGTGTAATCCCTGGGAAACCCAGAGAGGAGGAGGAAAGCAGGAGTGCACCCTCCCATGTGATAGATCTGACTGGGACACTGGCATCTCCAAACCAAATGAACTCCCACATCCTAGAGTCACACTACTCCTCCAACAGCATCACACCCGTCCGCGGGCTCTAACAGAGCCGCAGCCACGCTGCACAGGACAGTGGCTGGGGAGGGTGCTCATCTGATGGTTTGCTCAACAGACCTTTACTGAGCACCTACAGCACCCCAGGCTGGCGAAGAAAACACCTGTGATCGCTGTAGGTGTTCGTTTACCTGATGTAAACAGTTACATGGTGCTGGGATGAGAGCTGCACAGAAGAGCGAATTTGATGCTGGAAATCCAGACGACGGGAGGGCTCTGTGTCTCCCTCAGCCCTGGATATAGAAACGCCACCACGCCCAGGGGGTCCCCTCCTTCTGTCTAGCCCTCCACCTGCATGGCTCTCCCTCCCTCTCGCAGTCCTGCAGACCCAGCCCCTCCCCCCCCCCGCCCCAGGCTATGGACGCTGGGAGATTGCAGCAGCCTCCCTTTTTGTATGTCAACTCCCGTTGATGTGAACATTTCCTAAGACTCCTAAAGACAGGAACAGCTTTGTCTCGCCCATGCCTCTCCCTGAACATGCACGGTAGTATCTGTTGCAGGGAGACAAGAAGTGCAAAGACCTAATGCCCTAACTTGGGTGAGACTTAGTTCCAGCTTGTTGTCTGGGGGAAGTCTTACAACAGGGACCCTATCTATAGAGCAAGAGTGGATGTCCTGGACCCAAATCTGTCTTGCCACCTGTTTTTATAAGGCCCAGAGGCTAAGAATTGTTTTCTATTTTTAAAATCATGCAAAAAGATTGAGAAAATATTTTGTGATGTGTAGAATCAGATTGAGTACGTTTTTAGCAAAGGCCAGCATAGGAGTACCCTAATTAAGTTAATAACAATGTACCTACCTATATAGTTTAAGTTTAAAAAATTTGGCTCTCAAAAGAAATTTCAATCATTGTACTGTTGATATTTGGCTCTGTTGACTAGTGAGTTTGCCAACTGTACCTACCTATATAGTTTAAGTTTAAAAAATAAATTTGGCTAAAGAAATTTCAATCATTGTACTGTTGATATTTGGCTCTGTTGACTAGTGAGTTTGCCGACCACTGCCCTAAAGGATTGACTCTGATTCCTTACAGTTCTCCAATCCTGGCTCTGGACAGTCTGCTTCATCTACCAACAAATAAAAAAAATGAATAGCCCAGAAGGGAGATTTTATTGAAACTGTAAATGGTTCCAATATTTGAAGGACAAGAGAATCAGCTTACTCTAGTTTCATTACCTGAACAACCCAAGATACTTTTATAATGCTCCTTACTCTAATGTTAAAAAAAAAAATCATCCGGCCTTTTCCATCAAAGAGACTTCTGTACTTTGAAGCCATTCCACAAAACAGTGCTTCCCTCAGTCAAAATAAATATCAGGAAGGAGGGGAAAAGGCTCTGTGGGCTTCTGGCAGGACCCCCGAGAGCCGTTCCCACCACACCCTGAGAGCTCACACACTGGGGCTCTGTCTCTCGGGCTCTGTCCCCAGGTGACTGCTAATAAACAGGGTTGCACAGAGAGTTTCATGGGATAGGCATGGAACAGGAAACCAGCTCCCCGAGCCGGGACTACTCTATAAAACAGCACTGCGCAGGCCCTGCCCACAGGGGCAGAAGCTGCATGGTGCACTCGCAAGCCAGGTGACCTTCCCAAAGCCCACGCTGTGTCACCCCCGGGGCAAACCCTCCAGCACAGCGGCTGGGTCTGCAGCCAACGTGTCCATCCCTCTTCCCTCCAGGCACTCCATCGCCTGGAGTGGACTTGCTTTCCCACCCAACCCTCTTCATCCCACTCTCCACAGGGTCTCAGCTCAGGAAACTGGTCCCGAACCCTCAAACCCGATTCCGCGTCTGGGCTGTGGCCTCCCAGCACACGTGGGAGCGATCCTCCCACTGGGACATTTTGTCACTGTGCTAGGATCCTCTATTTGCTCCACAGTGTCCCCCACTGGAGTATAAACCTGGAATTGCCCCCAGCGCCAGGACCAAGTCACAATTTGTCAAATGAACGGATAACTGACTGAGGCAGCTGGGGTCGCAGGAGAGCTGGCCCCGCTGGAGCCACGTTATGGACGCCCTGGCTCCTGAGGAGGGAGAGGAGAGCAGAGTGCAGCTGTGGCGCGTTGGGCAGCAGGCTTCAAAGTCTTAGCTGTTTAGGGGGTGACAGTTCACTGCCACATGGCATCAGCAAGTGGCTTCTGTCCCAGGGGCACAACCCCTCCCCCCCCAACATGCGGGCTGTGAGAAGCTGCCGCTCCTTAGACCAGCAGTCACATATGCCCACGAGTCTTGGGCCTGAAACAAACCGAGGGCAAGAGGAGCCAGCATTTGCTAGGTAACTAGAAGGGCTTGCAGGCCCTGCGCCAGTAAGGAAAGTGAGGCCCAGGGCCCTGCCCACATGGCAGTGAGTGGTGGGAAGGGGGCAGGAAGTGAGGCCTGAGCCCTGGGGGTCCTGAGCCCCTCTGGCCCTACCTTGCCAGGCTTGTCTTTGCCGCCGCTGCTGGTGGAGCTGAGGGACCGCATGCGCTGCTCCTTGTGCTCCTCCACCTCGGACTTCAGGTGCTCGATGTGCACCAGGTAGGCCTGCTCCTGGGCCTCCCGGGTGCTCAGCTTCAGCTCCAGGGCCTTCTTCTCCTTCTCCAGCAGGTAGAGCTGGGCCTTCAGCTCAGCCATTTCCTCCTACAGATGGACACAGAGCGGGGGAAGGCAGGCAAGTGAGAGGGTCTGCGGCTATAAGCAAGGACGCGGTAGCTATTCCCTTGCACTGGGGACAAGGGCGGGGAGGAGAATGACAGCTGTCCCAGGGCACGTGAAGGACTGCCCTGTAGACAATCCCGTGCTGTCCCCTATGGACCAGAATTGAGATGAGTGAACAGAAGATCCAGGCAAGCAGATTCTGGTCACCATGAGGAGAAACTTTCTAACAGCTGCCGTCCCTGTCCCCTGCAAAGGGCTCCACTGCCTGGGTGGGAACCAATCTTCCAGTGTGGGGAGACTAAGCGCCGTCGGTCAGAGAGGTTACACACAAGGTAGGGTCTGCTTTGCCATTTTCCAAGGCACCAACCCACATATGTGATCACCCCTGATGACAACCTTGGTGCCCTGTACCTGAGTCAGACAGGAAGGGAGTGCCCCCGGCAATGATATCGCCCCCAAATGAAAGCAACAGAAACAGAGTCCTTCGTAGGTGACTTACTGATGAGTAACGTCTCAAAGTATCTTAGAGAACCCAGAGTAGAGTTTTTTGTGGAGAATAAGTGTGACTCCAAAATGGGACAGTGCTGTGCTGGGACCAAGAGCCCGACAACAATGATAATCACCCGTATTTGGTGAGCACGCAACACCGTTTAGATGTTCACACAAAGTAAGTCATTTAATTCTTCCAACCTCAGGTAGGAATTATGAGTCTCTCCATTTATGGATGGAACAATGAGGCACGCAGAGGGAAGTCCACCCACTGGGTGAACTGTGGGCCAGCGTGTGAAGCCAGGCCATCTGCTCAGAACCCAGGCTCCTAGCCACCAAGCGCTAGCCCGTGCCCACCATCACATGACCACCAGGCTGCCCAGCTGCCTCCATGACCTTACTTAAGGTGAGTCTTCCCAATGCTGAGTCACTGCCTTGACAGGGATTCGCCACGGTCACTGACTCGAGTCACCCCGGAGTCACCCTCACCTGAGGTGACAAGCCTCATGCCTGGTGTGCTGCCCTGGATACACCAGCCCTGGGGGGAAAACCTAGCGGGCACCCATCACAGCTTATAATACTCAGGACTGGGGGCCATTAGACACGGAGAAGGCAATGTGCTCAGCGACTACCCAAGAGGAGATGCCAAACCTTTCCTGAAGATGAGACATAAAACCAGAATGAAGGGTTTTCATACACTGAGCCCTTCTAATCTTTTGCCAAAAGCACAGGATTCTGAAGGTCCTGGGAACTCTGCACACTGAGCTAACGTGGACAGTCAGATCCAGCACAAATGTGAAGGCAAGCTTGGAAGAAGGAAAGGTGGGTGCCGGCGATGGGAGAGGAAACGCCTGCGGGGAAAGGTAAGGCGGCCGCTGTGCCGGCAATGGAGGCTCAGCCCAGATGGAGGCCGGGGACCTGGGCTTGTAGCACCCACTCGAGGGCAGGGCAGAGCCAGGACTGAGACCCGACACGCCAGGACTCAGAGGGCGGCCTAGAATCAGAGACGAGGAAGTTTCCTTTCCAGAGATGCGGCAGGAGAACTGGCTGCTGTTTTGGCTCTGGGTGGGAGAGAAAGAGAAGCCTCTGAGGAATCAGAACCACCACTGGGCCATGCGTGGACGTGGAACAGGAATCCTAAGCCGAACATGTAACAAAAGGAACCTAAACCTCTCGTGCCCTCAGGTCCCAACACATCTAAGCGCAGAACCACCAGCCAGGACACTTACCCCCCGGGGCCCGAGGACCCACGGCAGACACAGCTTCACCAAAGATGAACGTGCGAACATTCTCCCCCAAACACAGAGAGAAAGTGGAAATGAGTCGGGTTAAAGCAGAAGCAGCATTTGTGAAAAACTAGAAAATAAATATTTAAAACAAAGAGATAAAGGAAGAGGAATTGTAATGAGGATAGGATATTTAAAGAAAGAGGAGTGGATCTGAAAAGGAGCTGAGTGAATCACTGGAAATGAAAAGGTGTTCAGGAAAGATCATATACAAGAAGTAAAACCCCCAGGAAACTCGAGTTTCTCAGCAGTGAGTCTGGAACGAAATGGGGAAATGCAACCTTATCTTCTGCCACAGAGCTGGGACGGTGAGCGAGTCCTCGCACACACCCTGGGACACGCGGTGAGGGGCGCCGACTTGATGCTGGGGGCTGAGCCAGATGCTGGCAACAACTGCCCCCATCAGGGTCTGATGGGGTGCTTCTCTCCAAGCTTTCTATAATTTCTGCTCTTCTAGGAAATTTCCATGATGCGTCCACATGTTATTTTTCAAGTAGCAGTGTTCTCATCGGGATGTCATGATCTGGTTGACTAAACCATTGGCCACACAATGGCATACAATCTCCAGCCCTCCCCTCCCTGGAGGTCAAGAGGCTGAAAGTGTCAACCCTCTCATCACGTGCGTGGTCCGTATGGTGACCACCTCCGTCCTGAAGCTATTGGGGGTCTTCCACGTCGCCTCATGACTTAACCAAGACCCTCCTGTCACTCAGGAAATTCCAAGCTCCGTGCCAAGAACTGGGAACACATCCCAGATTTAATCTTTATCGTACCAGAGCTGCCTCCTGAGAAAGCACGTAGCGGGTGAAGGCCTTGTGCTTGGCACCCCTGGTTGGAAACGAGCCAATGTGCGCTGCAGAAGGGCGGCCGCTTAACCAACACTTCCTGGTGGGAGGCACCGGCTGTCCCGGAAAGCACCCCCTGCCCCAGAGACGCCGCCTCAGCCAGGATGCACCGCCGGAGATCTACCAGGAAACACTAACTGGGCAGCCCTAGCAAATCGTGCCAGCGGGTGTTGTGATCCGAGCAGGGTCCACGCGGCACCCAAGGGACAAGGGTGTCAGGAAACGGCTCTCATCCAAGTTCTGCCCTCCGCCTTGCCCTGCTCGCTGGCCTCAGAGGCTGCTCCAGCTGCAGAGGTCTGAGGTGGCTTCTCCTGGGGAACGAGGAGGTCAGCTCACCCCTCCAGGAACACCTCTGGCCCAAGGGAGCCCCTGACTGGAACTGTCTGTCCGTATCTACAACGAGGCGCTGGGGTTCCCCTGGGGAGAGGCTTCTGAGCAGGAAAGGGCTGACTTCTCGTCATCAGCTGACCTGTCTCAGAGGCCTTTCTCTCCTCCTCCTGATGACAGTGGAGTAAATGGGAACAGAGTTCTTGAACCCTCCCCCCACCCCCATACCTTCATGGCCATCAGCTCCTGCATCAGCACCGCATTCTCGAGGTCCAGCCGCTGGCTGTCTCCCCGGGGCTTGACATCGTAGCTGAGAGGGTCGATGTGGATGCTCTCCAGCTCCAGCATGGTCAGCTTGACCGCCGCCCTGTCGTTCTTGAGCTGCTGGATGTAGTCCTTCAGCCTCTGCTCGTCCTCCTTCGTGAACTCCGTGTCGCAGCTGCTGGCCGTGGAGCTGGTCGTGCTGAGAAGACAGACAAGGAGAAGCCATCACATTTCCAAGTCACCGCTACCAGGTCCTTTCTCCTCGCTCTTCTCCACACCCCGTCTCTCCAACAGTATTTAGATGGCAGTCCAGGGAGAAAAAGGCATTCTTCATGGCATAGTAAATTGATACCACCTTTTAGGAAATGAATGTAAAAAATAACAGAAATATTTATACCCTTTAGCACAACAGTGCGGGCCCTAGGAGTGAATCCTAAGGAAGTAATTCCACAAAAGCAATGAGATACACACAAAGGTGTTTCATGGAATAGAGGATTTAGTGAGTCAGTACACAGCAAAAAAGGGGGAAATTATGTAGACATTAGAGTAGTAATTACGACAATGGTGGAGATGTTTTAAGTGAGGAAATAGGGTAAAAATCACACGTGAGTCATAAATATAGGTGTATATGTAGACAGGACTTAAAAAAGGGATATGTTAAGGCCTGTGGTCAGCAAACCGAGGCTCGCGAGCCACATGCGGCTCTTTGGCCCCTTGAGTGTGGCTCTTCCTAAGCCTTTGGAGTATCCTAATTAAGTTAATAACAATGTACCTACCCATATAGTTTAAGTTTAAAAAATTTGGCTCTCAAAAGAAATTTCAATCGTTGTACTGTTGATATTTGGCTCTGTTGACTAATGAGTTTGCTGACCAATGTGTTAAGGGAACAAAGCAAGTTGAAAAACAGAATACCTATGGCATGATTCATAGATTGTGTGTATATGTGTACATACATGTATGTGCACACATGTCCCTGACTGCTGACAGCAGTCCCCTCGGGGTGAGACGTAGGAGGAGCAACAGTGAAGAGTGAAGGTTTGTACCATGGAAACCATAGTGTGTGTAATATTGCCACAACAACGGAGAAAGCGGCGTGCTCCCAGGCCTCCCCAGCTTCCCTCCAGAATAATGACTGGTATAATGTCCACCACAAGGACTCAGACTGGTCCAGAGGGCCCTTGGCCACTACACTGCATGGTGACCGGGCAGGGGCTGCAGACATGAGGCTGAGCGCTTTGGGAAAACCGAGGCTATGGCCCTCAGGAGGGTCTGGCCTTTGCCAGCAGCGGGCAGGCAGCTCCAATGGCTCAGAATGAGGCCCACTCCACCCAGCCAGGCCTTGGGCATCTGAGCTGGTGTGGACCTACCGCCCTTTCCCGGGACCTGCACTGGACCTGCCCATGCTTGCTGTGGCCCTCATGGAACTGGCTTTGGAAAGATGTCAGGAGAGCAAAGAGGCACCCCGAGCTCCCATGAAAACAGGCCAGGTAGGCATTGTCATCTCTGTCATTACAGATTTGGAAATAGGCTCAGAGTCATTAAATGGCTTGTCTGGTCAAAAGGCTGGAAACTGGTGGGACTGGACTCCGGCCACAGCCTTCTCATTCCACACCCCTGTCCTCCCAAGAATCCTGTTGTGAGAAGCTGTGCCCGGAGCAAGGAGTGACATTCACAGGCTGTTGGCGGCCCTGAGCTCAGGCCCATCCTCCTCAACTTACACTAGAACAGGTGTGACGAGGCCCCTAACTCAGCAGATGTAACGTTCCCATAACCTAGGTGTGACCCAGGGCTGGTCCACTCTCATGTGAGACACGTTATCAAGCTGGTCGTGCACGAGAGGAAGAGAACATTTTAGGGCTTGAGGTGGTTTTCAAGTCAGAGAACTCTTTCCTCCTCAGACAGGGAGCTCATGAACACCAGAAACAACTGGTCTACCCCGAAGGATAAGTGGGCATCGGCACTGTAGCTTGTGAGGTAATGGGACCCTCCCCAATTCTCTAGGGAGAGGCCACTACACTCTTGGGCTGCTGTGGTGGGTGCCAGTGATTCCAAGCAGGTCTCTGACACCAGACAGACCTGAGTAAATGCACTTCCTCCGCCACTCCCCAGCTTCATGGCCCAGAGTAAATCACCAAGCTTTCTGGGCTGCGGTGAAGTGGGGATCCTCATAATCCCCCTGTCACCTGCTTGTGGAAAAGGGACATGGGCCCTGAAGCAGGCAGAGCCAGCAAGTGCTGTCACAGAGCACTTGTTCTGGGGGAGGGGCAGCCCCCCCTCCCCC